TAAACTTACTTGATTATACAAAAATATGGCTTTATTGTAATTTCCATTTTTCACGTGAATGGTAGCTTCATTTACTAGAAGCGCGTTTCGTACGAAAAGAGAATTTCGCCTTACTGACGATTGTCTTTTTGTATGATGTACCATATCAATATCTATAACAACCGATGTAAATTAAAGTTTAAAAACAATAGATAAATATTAAATCTTGAAACATAAATCATGTTAGTAAAATTACTTTTGAGAAATTTTTCAAAGTAAAAATAAATCAATAATCTAAATGACAAATTAATATTACTAGTAAAATTAAAAATTCAAAACTTTTATATTCAATCCATAGACATTTTCCAAATAGACATTTCCTTAATTTTAATTTATATTTGAAGAACGGAATAAAACGAATTTGTTCTTACACTTACATGTAATGTCATTTATATATAATTGAGAAGAAATATGTTATTTGATTAATAATAATTATCTCATCTTTTCTTCTTAATCAACTCGATACAGGGACGCAAAACACGAATCAGTTACACCGCGACAAAATGCACAACAGTCATCGCTCCAATCGGTTCCACTGTCTAGCTTCTTAAATTCATAACTTACAACCAAAACTTTTCCATCCATACTTTTACTACTGTCTCCTTGTCTCCCTACCCGCAATATTAAGAAACAATCAATAAGTCAGAGAAAGAAACAGTAAAAAAGGAATATAACTTGACAATTCTTATTCTTTACCCACTGCACGCTGCACCTCCGATTACTAACGGAAAAGCCATTAAATAACTCGAATGCTTTCGTGAATGCTTCCTATCAATCCATTGCTATCGTCCTTGCCCGATTATTTGTGTCATTTAGCAAAAGACACGCACGCGATCTGCATATTGGCCGATTCTTTGTTTCCAGAGTTCTGCGAAAATAATTCGCGAATTCTAGGCAATTATATACCCTGTAAATTTTGTAGCATCTGTTCACATTCATATTTGCATTTTATATCATAACAATGAATGGAAAACTTTATATTAAAATAGAAAGGTGTGAAACTTTTCACGAATATGAATACAATTTTTAAAATTATAAGAATTTTAAATTTAAATGCAAATCTTAATTATAATAAAACGTATTTACAAATACATTTGATATAAATTTATCAAAATAATATTTGATTAATAATATTTCGCATGAATTATAAAAAATTATGTATTAAGTTTTATGTTATTAAATATTATATTAAATGTTAACACTGCAACAATTTGAAATTCAATAAAATAAATTTATAGAAAATTATTGTATTAAATATCGCTGAAGCAACACGTGACATAATTTTTGTGGGAAGAAATTGTTTCAGCTACTGTTTCATATATATTGACTTCTCATACTTTTCAAAGTATGAGAAGTCAATATATATTATAAATAGATTTATAATTGCTCATCGCGTGTCACACAGACATGCGATGAAAGCAGCGAAGTTAGAAAATATGCTTAGAATGATTAAAATTTTAAATGAAAAATATCTCATCATGCAATCTTCCAATAATAAAATTAGCAATACATTTATAATTAATAGAATTACATCGATTCGTTTTGGAATATAATAAATACTACAAGAAACAAATCATGTTTTCTACTTAAAAAATTCCAAATTTTTACAAGATATTTTTCGAAAAAATATTCATTCGAATATTTCTTAAAAAAAAACTGGATATTTTTTATTTTAAATATAAAATAGTAGATAGCAACATACATATAATGAAATATAATATTCCATTCTTATGCTATTAATTTCTCTTGCTATTATACTTATAAATCAGCAGTGTACAATTAAGATACATCTTATTTACATGCAATTTCGTATTCGATCAGTCTTATATTCAGTTATAACAAACGACAGTCTGTTCTCTCTGTGCGCATCTATGTATTGTTACAAAATCGGGTTTCAGTCTACGAAATAACAGAACGTGTGGCTCTGAAAAAATTTTAAATACATTAATAAACATTGATTATAATTTAAAAATACATACAGTATATTTTTGATAATCATTAATTTTATTTTTTAAATTTTTTACCTGGCCCATGCATCATATAATGAACCCATCCAGGACTTTGTTGGACTCCCAAATTTCTCCATTCAGTTTCAGTCATGAGATGAGTCTTTGGAACGTGTCTGGCCAAATCAGCTGGCAATATCACATGCCTGTTTCTCAACACAATTTCATTAAATTCAAGTTATGTGATTTAGTCGCTTAACTTATGCTATTATTAATTTATTGAAATTGATGTATTCCATAATTGTTGTATCGTTTATTCAAATTAATGTGTTTTATTGTATTACATATATTGTTAAGAATCCAAACTAATCTAAAATATTTGTTTCTTATATTTTTATATTTAAATATATTTCTTTTGACTGTTTCCTCATTTAAATCCTAATATTTATATATTAAATTAAGAGTAGAGAGTCATCTTTTCAAAAAAATCTTTTCAAAAACAAATTTCATGTTATAGACTAATATGAAATTTGTTAAAAATATATTTTTTAATATCATTAAATAATATTGAAGATAATTTTCAATAATTCATTACTTGTTTATGTTAAATATACATAAATATACATTCAAGTAGATACAAATTTACCTGTATTCATATCTATCATCACAATACTTTTCAGAATATTGAATTTGCTCTACTGGCATTTTGCTTAGGAAACCAACAAATATCAGAAGTTTTAAAAACTAAATGACCTAAAATAAAAATATGGCCTGATTTAATCTTAAAGATTTATAAAAATATCTATCTAATAAATCTTGCTTGTTTTATATAATCTTAAATGAAAGAATCTAATAAACAGCAACTAACAGTTACAATATCAACATTATAAATTTCCACTTGACAATACAAGTAGAATATAACATGTGTTTTATATAACATTATATTATTGACTAAGGAATATCAATATTTTATTAGTTGGTGTTTATTGAAAAAATTTTATTATACCATAATTTAAACCATAATTTTAATTAAATAATTTAAAATTTATCTAAAAAAATATAAAATCCACAAATATAAAATATACAGTATTTATACAATATTTATCTATAAAATTTTCATAAAAGAATTACAAACTTTAATAACTTCTTAATTAAAAGCAAAAAAATTCTGACAAAAAAATATTTGTTTCACTTTATCGTAAATTTATTTCATAAGTTTATTTTAGCAAAATAAAATTTCTGTAAATCAAAAGATTGCAATATCATGAGGTAAAATAATACATTAGTATCTGATATCTAATTCACTCAAGTAAATCATGTATTTTAGATAAACAATAAATTTGTTCTTTGTAACGGAACTAGCTTACAGATACATTTAAAATAAAATAAATATATATTTAAAATGAAAAAAAAGGAAATTTTGTCGTTATTATTCATTACATGCTAATGATAAAACAATGCTTACAGTAACCAATCAAAATAAACATATATAACAAATCTAACCTTAAAACATCGAATTAACAGGAAAATTTGCAATAAATAAAAAAAACGTTAATTTAGACCTTAATTAATTAATTTCGTATTCGTATAATAATTGTATCGTTTATCTAATTTATTTCTTAAATTTTTTAATATTTTATATTAAAATTGTTTATATATTTACAGACAAGTCAGAAAAAACCGCCCGCGTTTCAGTTGGAATCAAGGTCGCCAAATCCAATAAAATAAGTAACTATAATCATTAGTTTGGCAATACTGACTGGAAGCCACTAGCATTTTTATATGGTAAAAAATTTGTCATATATGACATATATAAATATATATAAACATATATATAAATATAAATATAAATAAAACATATATATAAATAAATAATATATTTATATACAAAATATGTTCATATATGTTTATATTAGATTCTTTCTTTTTGTAAAATTTTTGTCTAGTATAAGAAAAATATTAGTAATAATAAGAAGACAAGAAATAATTAAAGCCAGTCGGCACACGATGCTTTTTTTCCTGCTGATTTGCTAGCTGGATTTGCGTTGAGCTCTTGTCTTGGATTGGTATATTCTTTTGGATCTAAAAAAATATACCAATCGAAGACAAGAGCTCAACAAGCATGCGAATCCAGCTAGCAAACCAGCAAGAAAAAAAAGCATCGTGTGCCGCTGGCTTAAAAGAATAATTCCATATTGTTTCTTTTTTAAAGTCTTGTGTCCACGATGCTAGAAATCGGTCCAAGACCTCGGATGAAGAAAACATTGACCAATCATTTTAATCAATTAGCGGAAATAGTTATTGCATCAGACTAGCGCGGTTACGATTGCCGGTTGACGATTCTATTTCAGCCAATCACAATGTAGCAGATCCTGGTTACGGTCAATGTGATTGGTAATAATAGAATCGTTAACCAGTAATCGCAGCCGAGCGATCGCTACTCTGATGTGGCCTTCAAGCTTCTCTCTAGTATCATATTTTAATCTATGCATGACTAAACCAAACTTTGTCCAGCTGTCCGCGTTTAGGTTAGACGACGTACGCGTTAATACAGTGATGTATTATAACATAATAGTACTGAGACTGTAATTAAAAATAACGTTGCTAAACGAAGTCCGAGACGAAAGATGGGTGTTCCAGCATTTTTTCGTTGGTTAAGCCGCAAATATCCCTCTGTAATTGTCCAGTGCATCGAGCAAAAGGTTAGACTACCGTGGAACTCTTTCCCGCTCTACACGTTTGTTTTTGGATTATCCATATTTACATCTCGTTTTCCGAAATTCGATTTTTTTAATAAACTTTTCTTATTTTTGATATCCTAAATATTTTTATGCATATTTAACTCGAATAAACATTGGTTATAATCCTTAATTATTAGATTAAATTTATGCGTTTTTTGATCTAGTCATATGAAATTTTTTATATTAATGTTGATTTTTATCAATGTTTATTAATTTTAATCTCAGTTTAATTTATCTTTTACCTTTTTTCTAAGTCTCAGAATTAAAAAAAGAAAAAATAAGTGAAACAAAAATATAAATTAATATATATTGTTGAAAATGAATATACAATGCGTTAAATTCAATGCCAAAGTTTAACAGTGCCATATAAAGATATTTTTTATAACTTAAATATGTGAAATTAAAATATTGATGATTTATATTTCTAGCCAATATCTCCGGATGGAATATGCATTCCTGTGAATTCAGCAGAACCAAATCCAAATGGAGTGGAATTTGATAATTTGTACCTTGATATGAATGGTATAATACATCCCTGTACACATCCTGAGGATAAGTAAGTATTAACAAAAGTAACATTGTAAATTAGTTATTTGGAAATTATTTATATAATTATATTCTTGTATGAAACACAGGCCAGCACCTAAAGATGAGGATGAGATGATGGAGGCTATTTTTGAATGTATTGACAGATTATTTCGTATTGTGAGACCAAGGAAATTGCTTTACATGGCGATCGATGGAGTCGTAAGTATTTTATATGTTAGATATAGAAAGAAAATGATAAAATAAAAACGTTATTGAAAGTATTCATAATTCTTTGTTATGTAGGCGCCTAGAGCTAAGATGAATCAGCAAAGATCTCGACGATTTCGAGCATCAAAAGAAACAATGGAAAAAATTAATGAAATAGATAGGATACGTACTGAATTGAGCCTTAAAGGGGCATCCTTGCCTCCAGAGAAGCCAAAAGAAGAGCATTTTGATAGTAATTGTATTACACCGGTTTGTAACATTAAAATATATTAAAATAAATATTAATGTAATATATAAAAAATATTTGAATTATCTATTTAATAAACTATTGAAATCTGAAGTATATTTATATTTTTTAACAAATAAACTGGAATATTTTGTTATTGTTATTTATATTTTGTTATTAATTTTTGAAAAATGACCAATAAACTATAAAATTACATATTATATAAAAAAATTTATATTTTAGGGCACACCATTTATGGCAAGATTATCTTCATGTTTGCATTATTACATTCATGATCGTTTGAATAATGACCCAGGTTGGAGAAATATTAAAGTAATATTAAGTGATGCTAATGTTCCCGGTGAAGGAGAACATAAAATAATGGATTTTATACGGCGACAAAGAGGTAAGCTTATATATTTTATATATTATTTTGTGTGTAATTATCATATATACACCACTTTACTAAAAATATTACGAAATTTTTTATTTTTATTGTAGCACAACCCGATCATGATCCCAATACACAACATGTTTTATGTGGAGCGGATGCTGATTTAATTATGTTGGGTCTCGCTACACACGAGCCTAATTTTACTATTATTCGTGAAGAGTTTAAAATGAAACCAAAACCATGCGATATATGTGGTCAATTAGGGCATGAAATGCGAGACTGTACAGGTGCAGAACCAAACCAAAAACCAGAGGAGAACACATATGGATCTGAATGCCAGTACATATTTGTACGATTAAACGTTCTAAGAGAATATTTAGAGAGAGAATTGTATATGCCAAATCTACCATTCAAATATGACTTTGAGCGTGCTGTCGATGATTGGGTGTTTATGTGTTTCTTCGTAGGAAATGATTTTCTACCTCACCTTCCTTCTTTAGAAATTAGAGAAGGTGCAATTGACAGACTTGTTGCTTTATATAAAAAAGCAGTATATAAAACAGGAGTATGTAATATTTCTTATAAAACAGATAAAATTAATTTATATGAATTATATTTTTTAAACAATACGTGTATTTCATATTTATAAATATATTAGATATTAATTTATGATAAACTGAATGTCTTTTACAGAAAGTAATTTTTTTAATTATTTGTAGGGTTTCTTAACGGATAGTGGCGATGTTAATCTAGATCGTGTTCAATTAATAATGTCAGATCTTGGTGATGTAGAAGATGAGATTTTTAAGAAAAGACAACAAAATGAATTAGCTTATAAACAACGTGAAAAAGAGAAGAAGAAAAGAAGTGAAGTTATTAGTAGTTTTAAACCAACATGGATTCCTGCAGGACAATTTGCGCCCACTGTAAGATTTAAGTTTATTATTGCATATTTTATATCTAAGAAAAAGTGCTAGATTTTACTAAAACTGATTTATTAGAGGTTTATAATTTTCTATAATTAATATATAATGTGTAAATTTTAAAATATTAAATTTTTACAGGCTCTTGGACAAAAAGTGAAACCTATAGAGAACCCACGTTATGAAGCTTTTAAAATGCGCGTTATGGGTAGAAATTATAATACAAATGCTGCCGATAATACAAACACTAACCATGCTTTAGAAAGCATGCTTAGACCTGAGGTATTTACTTTTATTTCCTTTAACTATGACTTACATATTCTTGAATTTGCAAGGTTATTATATAACATATAAGTGTATAATTCAGAAGTCAATTTTGTTTTTGCATGTTACAGAATGCAGGTAATAGAGGACAGAAACGTAAAATTGATGAAGTTACATCAAAGGATGATTCAGATGATGACCAAGCGCATGATGAAGTGCGACTTTGGGAGGATGGTTTTAAAGATCGATACTATGAATCTAAATTCGATGTATCTCCCGATAATCTCGCGTTTAGGTAATATAAGAATTAGAAATAAGATAATATTTATACTCTGATAAATTGAAATTATTTTTGTGGACAGAAAGAGAAACAGAAAGAATTAATGAGTAATATCTCATATAATAATTGTACTTATTTGTAGAAATAATGTTGCTTTACAATACGTGCGGGGCTTGTGTTGGGTTTTGCGATATTATTATCAAGGTTGTGCATCCTGGAGATGGTATTTTCCATATCATTATGCGCCATTTGCAAGTGATTTTATTAATATTGGCGGTCTTTCTACAGAATTTGAGAAGGACACTGTACCTGTAAATATTACATATTCTTTGTAGAATGTAAGTGTACTTATAAGTACATATATGATTTTACATTATTTTGTTACAGTTTCGTCCATTAGAACAATTAATGGGTGTATTTCCTGCTGCTAGCAGTAAACATGTACCTGTACCATGGGCGAAGTTAATGACTGATCCAGTACGTATATTTTCAATATAATTAAAAAAAAAGAAAAAGAATAATATCAAGTTATTTTTATGATTAAATTAAAATGATATGTAAATTATTATTACTAGAGGCATTAATGTACCTGTCTGAGAGGAATAACTTTAGATAAAATATTTTATTTTTCGTAATAAATCAAATATATACAAATTATTTTGTAGACATTCTTTTTAGTTTAAAATTAATGAATAAATGAATAAACATAACTGAAAGTTGCTAATAATTATATATCTTCTGTTTTTAACACCATTTTTTCCACCAATGATATTAGAAGCAAATATAATTATTTGATAAATAAAAATAAAGAATGTGACAAATAAAATAAAATATTTAAAAAAATTATTATACACAATTTAATTAAGTTTTCACTAGAACTCTCAATAAAATTATTTTTCATATTCAGATTAATATTCTCTATGAAACTATAGACCTCTATAAACTATAGATATTACATGACTTTATCAAAATTCTTTTTTTTTTGTGAAATATTTTTATGTAACTTTACTTATTTACAGAAATCGCAAATTATCGATTTTTACCCAGAAGACTTTAAAATCGATTTGAATGGAAAGAAATTTGCTTGGCAAGGTGTAGCTTTGCTTCCATTTGTTGACGAGAAGAGATTATTTAAAGCTTTAGCACCATATTATGACAGTTTAACAGAAGCAGAAAGTGAGTAATATATATACACACAAACGTTTTTGTTAATCATAAAACTTAAAACTTATTATTTCGCAAAGTGTTTACGATTGTCAATATTTTAATTATTAATAATATTAATTTTATGATTTATTCTCTATATATTTCATGTATATATATATATATATATATATATGATGCAATAATATTTATATAATAGATAAATTTATAGAGCATATGATTATAAAGTAAAGTAAGTTAATTTAATTTCAAGTAATTTCAAGTTTCAATAAGTAGAGTTTAAATTTCTATGATTATTATTTATATTCTTAAAATTATTTATTCGAATGATAATCATAGAAGAAAAATGCAATTATACAATAATCTGTAATATTATTACGCTTATTCTTGACGCATAATAATAATTTATATAATAATAATTTATATATAATAAATAAATTTACACGATTTTAAAATATTTAAAATAAAATTATATATAAATTACATATAAAAATTAATTTTTTTCTCTGATTATTTATATTCTAAATTATTTATTCAAATGATAATCGGAAAAAATAATTTTTTGCAGTAATCTATAATATTATTATGTTAATACTTATCTATAAAATAAATTACTTGATTTTTTTATTTCATTATAAAATATAATCGTTCAAATATCTATTTGTATTTTCAGATTCTTATTAGCGAACATTAGCGAGTTTTAAATTTGAACATTTTTAATTTATCAATTAATAATTTAATCGATGATACAAAATGTGAATAAAATTCAGTTTAAATTTCGCGCGCTCCTAATTTACAATTTCGAACTTTAAGAACTAACTTCACGCGGTATTGGAAAAAAAAATATAAAACTTGAAACTAGTCACGTGATCCCTCTTGTTGGAAATTTCCCGAAGCAACGAAGAATGCGTTTCTACTTCTCAATGTTTAATCGTCTAATATATTTCAAAAAAAGGTTTAATTTTATACTCATACGAATAAATTCTCTAATTAAAGATGCTCTAAATTAAGATGCGAGATAATATATACATCCGTCGTATTTGTACTTGTGCGTATTGCGTATTATGATCTCAGTTTTATCTTGAATTGCATCCTCCATTTTCAGAAAAAAGAAATGTTCGCGGTGACGACAGATTGTACGTCGGAATAGGCAACAACGGTTACAACTTCATAAAAGGTCTATATACGAATCGCGTAGGCTTCGATAAGGAAGTCGAAATAAGTATCGATGGAATGCGAGGCACCGGGTTCCTATCAGAAGATTGCGTGAGTGATGGGGGTACGTTACCCTCGCCCGTAAGGGGCTTGCCAGTTAGGAACAACAAAATATACTGGTTCGTATAAATAAATTCATATGCAAATTTCCTTAACACTAGAAGCACTAGGCGGTCATTTCTAATCTTTCTATCTTTTGAATTAATGAATTATTTTTTATATATTAAATATACAATTTTCATATATTGTCTAACTTTTCATCAATTATTTTCTTTATTTTATGGACCACTAAAATTAGAAAAATTTTAAATACTATTTTTGATACTAAAAAAAAATTAAAAAAAGTAGAATTGACAAAGAAGGATCGTTAGATACTTTTAGATAAATCAAATTAAAATGATTGCATTATTAATTGATGATGAAAAAAGAAAAATCTAAATGTCATATTTTCTTCTTATAGCATTAAATATAAAGATCCCAAGTATGGTAGCAATCATATTTTCCTCGCTCGAAAACTGAAGGGGGCAAAGGAGCCACCACGAGTCTTGAAACCACAAGACTTTGACGCTATGAATCGCAAAAATGGGAATCAGTGGACGCCGCAAATCGGTTTCACCCGAACTACACAGTCTGCTTCGTTAGGACAGGCAGGACATAGAATGCTCGAGTAAGTATGATTTATAGCGATTAATTATTTGCATCTCTATGTTAAAAGTTTTTACTTTTACTACTTTTTCGTTTTTCTTTTATTGTTTCAAATAATGTTATAAATAGTGTGTGTAAGATGCAATAAAAACTTTTATAGACTTATCGCGATAGAACAATTTGCAATTAGTTTTATATGAAATAAATTTAAGGATGACTTTTGATTTAATTCTGAGATAATGATTTTTTTCTCCTAGTTGAGAAAATAAAGTGTGTTCATTCTCTTTCTCACAGTGAATTTTGTCTATTATTGCACGAATGTAGATGTTAAATAAAATGTTAATAAGTATTTCTTAATAAATTATATTTTTTTTTTACAGACATCATATGAATCACAATAACAGATCGGCAGTGTATGCAAATATTCCACCACCAGTGAATTTATATCAGCAATTTCATGGTAAGTCTTAATTTTTATGCACGTATTTCATTAGTAATTAGTGATAACGATGTCTATTGACACAATATCAGAGGAGAGAAAAATATTATTAAACAAATACATTTATCCTAAGCGGCTTTTTATTGATATAATTAATACACACTAATTTTATTTTTAATTTCATTGAAATTAGTGCGCAAAATTACGTACGTGACAAATATAATATTAAAATTAAAATTCTTAAATATATGAAATCCTAGAAATTAATGCGCGAATATTCAATATTTAAGGCAATTGTGAAAAATTTAATACACTCATCGCATTAATATTTTTCTCCATAAGCGATCCAGTATCGAATATATTTTTCGTACCTATTGCATCGAATTTAAGATTTTTGGCATAGCTAGATGATGCACGGGATGTGTTTACGTTGAGACTGAACCGCTGAGCAAGGAAGGGATTGAATTGAAGGGTCGGAAAGGGCTCGCGTGGCGACCCTAACGAGAGAGCGTTTCGCAATCAGTCAGTCAGTCAGTCAATCGTTTTCTAACTAGGACCAGTTTCTCCTACTACTTGTTTTATCCCTTGTTTCTCTGACAATACCGAGATTAGAAGAGTCGAATTAAAATGCGCGCACGCGACTTCTTCAAGTTTGACGGTGTCGTGCGAGATCGAAGGTGGAGGTTCTCGCTATTCTTATCTGTGTTGATTATCAAAAGTTTTATTTTACATTTTATTCAGCATTTTATTTAATTATGGTCGAAAGAAAATCATCGGAAATAACTTCTTTATTTCACACTGCGGTGCATTATTGACGATTTCTGTTATTTTGCTATCACGATTGGAGAAATTGTTACTTTTCATTTTGCACAATGTGAAAAAATTTCTCTTTTTTTTTTTCCTCTAAATTTAAAAAATATGTCTTCTCAAATGATATTTGGGGAACATTGAGTGATCTAAAACTAACTTATTCTCTACTTTATCTGTCTGTGAAACTGCGGGGGACGATGAGGAAGTGGAGGAGAGTGGTTGCCCCATGTCGCATCGCTTGTGTCACGAAGGTGGGCGGTGGTGAACCGTTGGTAGGTGGACAAACGATGAATCGACGGCGAGTCAGAGGGTAGTTGATGTTGGCTGGCGCGGAGGGCTCGAAAGCACGAGCCGGCGGGGGTGGAATGGGGGTCGCAGGGGGAACGGGGTGCGAAGCCGAAGGGGGCCCTCGGTTTCTGGATTAGCTCCGAGGGTAGTTCGTCACGTAGAGCGTGACTCCGGCCGTTTTGTTGTTTGGCACGTCGAAGCAGCGACGGTTCCCTGGCTTCGCCCAATTATAAAACAAACGCGGTGCACTCCGTAATTATCCAATTAGCGAACGTGCCTACCCATCGTACCGCCCCCCCCTCCCTCTCCTGTGTGTCGCGTTCCCGGTCTGCTTTCCTATCTTCGTTGCGTTCTCCAATACGTTCATGGCACAAAAGCTATGTAATAAAAGCTTGTAATATTCAGGATCTGTGCAGGGATGATCGAAAAAATTTTTTATAACAATCCATATCGATATTTTATTACTAAGCAATTTATCTGTTACTTGAATTATTTCAAGAGATTGAGAACTTTATTTTGAATTTCTGAGAATACCATAGTAATTTAAGGAAAGTCATCTCGAAATGATAAAATATGCAATTTCGAAAAATATATTTGGTATTAGAAGATCAATTGATCTTTATTTAAATCTGAATTCTTACGAATAAAAATAAAGATATGCATATAGTAATAATATTTTTTTGATAAATTATCTTTAATAAAGCAAAAATGTTTCGTGACATTTATCGATTCATGGCCTATTGATTTATTAATTAGTTTTATATTACATGTAAGTTTATTATTTAATTGGTTTTTTAATTTTATTCATTTTATATGATTTCTTATAAGTATTCCTTATAAGTTACTTTCCTTATGAGTTGTTATACTTTCTATGTTTCGTTATGCTGTGACCGATCGTCTTTATGCGTGAACATAAAAACAAAACGTTATATGGGGTACGGATGTGTGTGATTGATTTACTGAGGGGAGTAAATGCCACGCACAGACAGAAGCGAACCCTCGAGAGAGTAAGTGTCGAGGATACGAAATGATTTTCCCGTGAAAAACGCAAGAAGCTCGCGTTTTCCTTCCTCTCTCGCAGACACGTTACTTTAACAGTTAATTTATTAGCTCGAACTTAACATTCTAAAATTGTTTCTAGAATATTAGTTGAAGGTACTAAAAGTTTAAATAATTAATAAAAGACATAGAGAAAGAGACACACACACACACACACACACACACACACACACACACAC